ACTTTCAGTCTTAAGCTCTTTACAATGTATCAGAATGACCTTTTTTTTTTCGATTGGAGTATAATTGCTTTACAATACATTAGTTTGTGCTGTTCAAGACAGTGAATCAGCTATACGTACGTATATATCCCCTCTCTCTTGGACCTCCCTCCCACCTTGCCCCTTCCCACCCCTATGTCATCACAGAGCACTAAGCCGAGTTCCCTGCGCTATACAGCAGGCTCCCACTAGCTATCTACTTTACACAGGGTGGTATGTGTATGTCAATGATCACAATGACTTTCATTTTCTGTTCTTTGGCTTGGGAGACAATAAATGGCAGGGACCAAATCTGTTCACATAAATACTTAATCATAGTTTCTAGATAAATATGTAGAGCATGTATAAGTTCACCTTATAAATTCAAAAGAACTTAGGTTCTTCCCAGCAAAAACTTGTCTGGCCTTCTCTCACCAACGCTTCCACTGATCCCTGTCTTGGAATCCTGGATAGCCATGACACTTTTTCTTCTTCCATCTACTTTTTTTTTGTTTTTTTCTCCAAGAGTAGGGAGGTTTACTGATGGCTAACAATCCTGTTGTTCTGGGGAACTGATTTAGCAAGAGAAAATAGAAAAGTCCATCAGTCAGTGCCTACCAGTCCCAAAACCTTGAAATTAACAATCTCAAATAAATAGAGGAACATAGCACCCAAGAATAGTCCTTATGGCAGTGTAAAGTTACCACTTAAGCTTTAGAAAACAGACTGCTTATCAGAAAGAGAATCAGGAGAGTTAATATCAGATGGAACCTTATGGATCACCTACTTCTCCCCCTGATTTTTCCAAATGGGGACACTGAAACTTTGACAGATGAAGTAACTTGTATAGCTACTCAGCTAGTTAGTAGCAGGGCTGGGACCAGATTCCTAGTCTCCTGCCTCCAAGACAGCTATTCTTCCCATGCCACACGCTGGCAACATGTGCCTCTAACAAAATGCATCATAAAGTAGCCTCCTCTTAAACCACCAGAAATGAAAACCAAATTATTCAAATCCATCCTCTTTGGCTATTTTTTTTTTTTTCTTTCATTTCTCTGTGTCCTAGTCTCTCTCTTTTTACCACTCTTCTGTTTCCCTCTGTGAATCCTTCTCTCTGTTTGGGTTTCAAATTGAACTGTAGCATGCCTGCATGACTCTTGATTTTTCTTCTCTAAGCTATTGTTTCCAGTCCAAAGGCAAATATGCATAAACCAGTCAAGACTCTTTCTTGGTGACCTTTGTGGAAAAAGAACTCTCAGAATTTCTATATGAAAGGTGCTGGACCTCCCTCCTAGTCTCTCCAGTCAATTAAAATGAGTCTCTGGCCCCCCTGAGGGTTGTTAACCAATCCTAAGAAAGAAAAGATCAATCTCATTTCACCATCACCACTGTGCAGGGAGGTGGCTAACCAGTCAGAATCTGCCACTAACAATCCTTAGAAAAACTGGCCAATCAGGCCAACCTTGTTACATGGTCTGGTAGGAAAAGAAAAGGATTGATTGGAAAAGATAGTTCTGGCTCCACACCCTTTCCTTTCTGGACCCTAGTTTTCCCTCAGTGAAGTGAAGGAAGAACCCTTTACCAAGCCCTTGGTTAAGAAAATCCCTAGACCCTTAGCTAATGTTCTCTCGGATTATATTTTGCTGTCTTCAAATTCACCCCTCTGCACATACCTCCAACCACTTTTTGTAGTCTCATGCCTCCAGGTTTAATGTCTGGTTGCAAATATGGTAGCCCTGGGAATTCTCAGACCTCCCCACAGATCCCCACCCACTAACCTGTCAAGTAACTCCTTTGTGTGATTTATGTAGGTAAAAAAATTCAGTAAGCCATAGTTGAGTTTCTTTCAGGGGCTATCATTGCAAGAAGCTGGCAATAAAGTCTCTAGGAAGTAGAGCAGAACTGAGCTGCTATGCTCCCAACTATAACACTACTATTAACACACACACACACACACACACACACACACACACATATTATTATATTACTAGCATTTATTGAAGTAAGTTCCAAGCTCCTTGCTAAAAGCTTCAGGTATCTCTGCACAGTCATGTCCAACTCTTTGCAATCCCATGAACTGTAGCCCTCCAGGTTGTTCTGTCCCTGGGATTTTCCCAGCAAGAATACTGGAGGGGGTTACCATTTCCTCCTCCAGATGTCCTGACCCAGGCATGGAAACTGCGTCTCCTGCATTGGCAGGCAGATTCTTTACCACTGCACCACCTGGGAAGCCCAAAAGCTTCATGTATATTATCCCAATATTTGCTGCTGAGAAGCATTATTATCGGGCTTCTCAGGTGGCTCACTTACCAAGCAGGAGACTTGGGTTCGATTCCTGGGTTGGGAAGAACCCCTGGAGAAGGAAATAGCAACTCACTCCAGTAGTCTTGCCTGGAGATATCCCACAGAGTAACCTGGCCGTCTACAGTCAAAAGGGTCAGATGAGACTTAGTGACTAAACGACTATGAAGAATTATTATCATTCCCAAATTACATAAAAGAAGATCGATATAGAGGGGTTAAACAGCTTGTCCAAGGTCACACAGCAATTTGGGAAGCCAGGTGTATGAATTCAGAGCCTACCACTGAATGGAGGTAAGGGAGAAATAAACATATCAGACACAGGCTCCTTCTCCAATTCTCCTTTGGATTGTTAGAGATATCTGAGAGGGGTCTAAACTGTCACAACAAACAGCTGCAACAACTGGCTAGTGGTGGCGGCTCCTACGAGCTGTGGAAGTTTTGCCCTGAGGATGTCCAGCCGCGGGCTAAAAGGAATTCAGTGTGGGCGGGCTTGGGGTGTCTGCGGACCTCAGAAGATTTATTTTTTTGCCAACTGCTTCCAGGCATGAGGTATCTTAGCTCTCAGACCAAGGATTGAACCCCCACCTCCTGCATTGGAAGCCTGGAGTCCTAACCGGTGCACCGCCAGGGAAGCCCCCCAGGAGATACTCTTGTAGCCTATTTTCCCTTTCTCCTCTGAGCATCTCACCCTGTGCCTGGCACCGCTTGGGACCTGGTAAATACCTGTTGAGTGATTCCCAAGGATACCAGTTCCATTTCTCACCTACCCGCAACCTCACCCCAAGTCAACAACTGGAAATGGAGAGCGATCTAGGCATTTCAGGGGAACCAGTGAGATTCCAAATTCTCGAGCTGGAATCTTAGATTTAGGAAAGGCGGGAAGTCTCCCACCCTTCTCCTCCTCGCCCGCTTCTCCGATTTCTCCCTACTCCTTCCCCTCCCTTTCAGAAGCTCAGGGCCATAAAAATGCAGATGGAGGATCGGTGTGAAATAACGGGCCCATATAAATCCCTCTGCCGCCCGCCTGCAAGATGGATTGGCCGCATTGAAATTCCTCCGCGAGGATAATTAAACTCGGGGCCTCATCCGGGCAAAATTACATTCCTGTAATGGCGTCGCTCGGGGTCCCGGGAAATTGCTCCGTGGGCTTTCAGCGGCGGTTTTTATCGCCGGCCGGGGTGTGCCTGGCTGCGGCTCGCCTCTCCTCCGGGACCGTAAAGCTGCTGCCGTGATTTATCCTCCCCTTCTCCCAAATCCGATTAAATGGAGGAGCTCGGGGCCGGGGCGCCGCGGGGCCCGGGAGCCGGGAGGGGGCGGCGGGAAGGACGGGGCCAAGGAGGGGAGGACAAACGGCCCCTCAGAGGGTGGCGGATTTGGCTTTATTTACAGCCGCGGCCTTCTTTTTATTTTTTTATTTTTTATGGGGGTTTGGTGAGCTTTCCCCATCTTTCTTGTGCTGCGTTCAAGACGATGCCTGGACGGCCGAGGTTTGGACGCGAGGGGAAGTGGGTAGGCCTTGTGGATCTCCCTCCAAGGGAACAGGTCAGACCTATCTGGGACATAAAGCAGCCTAGAAGAAGAGGTGAGGGCCAGGAGGCCCCCTACTTTCTCCCATGAGGAAAGGACGAGCAAAAGGGGAGGAAGCTGAGTGGCCTCCATAAGAGCACGTCCTGGGGGTGGGGGACTGCTTATCTTAACTCGTGTAGATGAAGCCTGAGCAGAGGCCCTGGCATGCCTGGTTTGACCTCCCAACCTCACTGCTGCCCTCTATTCCTTGACTGTCTCAGGCCTCAGGAAAGAATGCTTAGGGTCAGGGCTCTCGAGCCCTAATCATCTTTAGCCCCTATCTTCTGATTCCCTGATGCTGATTTTCTCATAGTTGATCACTGGAATAAGAAGAGGGAAATAAAAGTGAAGCCACTAGAGGCTGCTACTGCTATTAGTCACTTCAGTTGTGTCCGACTCTTAGCGACCCCATGAGCCACAGCCTACCAGGCTCCTCCATCCATGGGATTTTCCAGGCAAGAGTACTGGAGTGGGGTGCCATTGCCTTCTCCGAGCCACTAGAGGCAACTGGGGCATTTTCCTGACTATCCGCCCATTGAATCCATAAAGCCTGGGTCGGTGGCAACAGGAGTCGGGAATCCTGTGACCTCATTCTCCTCCTGCTAGATTTTGGACATTGAACCCCATCTCGACTGTATGCCATTTAACACTGAAATTCTGGACAGTTGGGTTTTCTTCCCACCCCCAGTGTGACCGCGCATGCTTGGAAAAGAGACGCAAATCCAAGATCCCAGCCGGTGTGCTGAGCAAACCGCAGGCCACGTTACGGATCGGCTTACACTGCGGAGTGCCCTCATTTCTCAGGCTCGGCCTGCAGTTTCTCCTCTCAGACGCCAGGTGGAGTGATTGGCTGGCTACCGCCACAGAGCTGGCAGGCGGCGCTGTGGTGCCTGGGCCGACCCTCAAGTTTGCGATCTCTCTATCCTTGGAGGAGCGACTCTTTGGTCCGGGCCGCGCCTGCGCTGAGCCTTCCTTTTCCTATTCCCGCCCCTCCCCGCCCCTCTCTGTCTTCTCTGCACTGGGAGCAGGTAAGGCCTTGGGCCCTCGAGCCCGTGTTGCGCCGCGCACGCGCGCCGGGCGCCCACCTCGCGTGGATGGTCTGAGGCCCTTACCTTGCGTGCTCCCACCTGGGTCCTCACGCCCTCCTTTGCCCCCGTATCCCAGCGCGTTAGGGCTGCCCCTTCCGCGTGCCGGTGACCTCCAGCCGCATGGGCCTGGCGCCATCTTTGATGTCTCTTGGGTGGGGGGAGGGCGCCTTGGAGTTGTCGAAAGTCAAATCCCAGAGTGCTCATTTTACCTGTCGCTTGCAAACGCTCTGTTCTCACCCTTTTGCCCTTTCAGAGCTGTCCCAACCCCCAGACTCTCCCCTCCAATCTCTCCTTTCTCTTCTCATCCTGACTCGTGCTTTCCTTATTCTGAAACCTCCAGACTTTTGGCCCCAGGATCTCAAGTGTCGAGCAGTGGAGATTGGTGGATCGTCTAAAGCCACCAGTCCCTCTAGGCAGCACCCCTCGATTTAAAAAGTAAACCATGAAAGTGGTAGAAATGAACAGCACAGCCAGAGCACCCCCTACCTTCAGGCTGTGGACTGGGAGAGAGCTATAGCAGAAAAGAGGCAGGTTTCTTTGGTTCCGCGTATCGTCTCCCAGTGACGTTCTCTTCTTTCCACTGCGGTGAAGCGGGAAAAACACAAGTCGTGGGCTTTGTGAGGTTTTCCTTTAGAGGCAACAGGCCTAAAAAGCGGAGGGGCCAGCATGGGGTGCTACCCACCTGCCAGCTTTCCTGTCAAGGGGTTTACTGAGAGTCCCCAGACTGCCCTCAAGAGGAAAAGGTTAAGAAAGGGAACGATTAAGTAGCAGCCCTGGAACTCCCTGGCTGACCTCCACTGAGGAAGAAACCCATGAAGTTGGGTAGTGCTGTTCCCCAAGGTGATATTGGTTAACAAGTGCAGACTTGGCCAAGTTTAGGTGGCCAGCAGAGGGATCACCGCTTCCTGCAGACTTCCTTCAGTTCCACATCAGGCTCTTTCCATATGTTATTTCATTTAATCCCTCTAAGAGCTGTATTTTAAAAATGATGATATTGAGGTTTTGTTGCCTTGGGGGGAAAAAGTCTCTCTCCTCTTTTTAAGCTTAAAAGAAATTTTGGATTTTTGACCTAAGAAAACCTGAATAGCATGGCAGCAAAATTGGGTTAGACTTACATATGGGCAGAAATCAGAGTTCCGGAAAGGACAAGAGTTGAAGACATCCATTAATGTAAAAGTAACATTCTGGAACTGGAAGTTAATTTGGGAAAGTATTAGTCATTCAAGGAAGTGTCATTTAACAGGCCTAAGTAATCACTGAGTATTTCAACCTGTAGCATATTAGCGTTAAGAGTGAGAAGAGTTCAAATTCTTATTCTACCACTGCCATAGTTTTAAGACTTTTTAAGACCACGCTCTCCAAGTACCTAAGAATCATTTGGGAAGCTTCACTGAAATACAGAAATTATTAATACAGTTATTGTTTAGTCGCTAAGTCATGTCCCACTCTTTTGTGACCCCATGGACTGTAGCCAGCCAGGCTCCTCTGTCCATGGGATTTCCCAGGCATGAATACTGGAGTGGGTTGCCGTTTCCTTCTCCAGGGGATCTTCCCCACCCAGGAATCGAACCCGAGTGTCCTGCACTGTCAGGCGGATTGTTTCCTGCTGAGCCACTAGGGAATCCCAAAATAGAGTACTTGGGCCTTATTGCCAGAGATCTTGACCCAGAAAGTCTTAAGGTGAGACCCAAGAATATGCATTTTTTGTTTTTTCTTTTTTGGCCACAGTTCATGGTCAAGGGATCTTTGTTCCCTGACCAGGGATCCCTGCAGTAGAAGTGCAGATTCTTAACCGCTGGACTGCGAGAGAAGTCCCACGTTTTTAATACATACACAGTCCCTACCCTCCTGTAACTAGTTCAGGTGGGCCTCCAACTGTACTTGGAAAAACCCTGCCTTTAGATCTTTAACTCACCCTCTCTTCTCTCAGTTCTACCAACTTAGGTACTCAAGGGTGTTAGCATTGTTTAAGGTCTTTTTTTTTTAAAGTCTTTATTGAATTTGTTACAACATTGCTTCTGTTTTATGTTTTGTTTTGTTTTTTGCCCTGAAGCATGAGGGATCTTAGCTCCCCAACCAGGGATTGAGCCTGAACCCCCTGCCCTGGAAAGCTAAATCTTAATCAGCAGGGAAATCCCTGTTTAAGGTCTTGAGGATACAGAATTGAATACCCCTTAGAATAATGGTGGAAATGAATACTTTTAACAGTCATTGCTAATTAGAGTAATGACAGAGTTCCTCCTTGATCTGCCTTATCTGGTTAATTAACATAGGAGATAAGTGTTTTGACAAATGCTTCCTCAGTCTGTCAGTTAAGTAGCTTAGTCTGTCTCTTTGCAACCCCATGGATTGCAGCACGCCAGGCTTCCCTGTCCATCACCAGTTCTCGGAGCTTATTGAAACTCATGTTCATCAAGTCAATGATGCCATCCAACCATCTCATCCTCTGTCATCCCCTTCTCCTCCAGCCTTCAATCTTTCCCAGCGTTAGGGTCTTTTCAAATGAGTCAGCTCTTCACATCAAGTGGCCAAAGTATTGGAGTTTCACCTTCAGCATCAGCCTTCCAATGAATATTCAGGACTGATTTCCTTTAGGATGGACTGGTTGGATCTCCTTGCAGTCCAATGGACTCTCAAGAGTCTTCTCCAATACCACAGTTCAAAAGCGTCAGTTCTTCAGTGCTCAGCTTTCTTTATAGTCCAATTCACATCCATACATGACTACTGGAAAAACCATAGCTTTGACTAGACAGATCTTTGTGGGCAAAGTAATGTCTCTGCTTTTTAATATACTGTCTAGGTTGGTCATAACTTCTCTTCCAAGGAGCAAGCATCTTTTAATTTCATGGCTGCAGTCACCATCTGCAGGGATTTTGGAGCCCCCCAAAAATAACAGTCTATCACTGTTTCCATTGTTTTCCCATCTATTTCCCATGAAGTGATGGGACCAGATGCCATGATCTTAGTTTTCTGAATGTTGAGTTTTAAGCCAACTTTTTCACTCTTCTCTTTCACTTTCATCAAGAGGGTCTTTAGTTCTTCGCTTTATGCCATAAGGCTGGTGTCATCTGCATATCAGGTTATTGATGTTTCTCCCGGCAATCTTGATTCCAGCTTGTGCTTCATCCAGTCAGCATTTCTCATGATGTACTCTGCATATAAGTTAAATAAGCAGAGTGACAATATACAGCCTTGATGTACTCCTTTCCCGATTTGGAACCTGTCTGTTCCATGTCTGGCTCTAACTGTTGCTGCTTAACCTGCATACGGATTTCTCTGGAGGAGGGTCAGGTGATCTGATATTCCCATCTCTTTAAGAATTTTCCATAGTCTGTTGTGATCCACATGGTCAAAGGGTTTGGCATAGTCCATAAAGCAGCAGATGTTTTTCTGGAACTCTCTTACTTTTTCGATGATCCAGCAGATGTTGGCAATTTGATCTTTGGTTCCTCTGCCTTTTCTAAATCCAGCTTGAACATCTTTGACAAATCTTTTGACATGTTTTGACAAACGTTTCCTGGTAATTCAATAAGAGGATTGCTAGAGACCCTTTCAGAGTCTTCGCCTTATGCACATATCTTCCAAGAGTCTTTTTTTTTTGGCGGGGGGCCGGGGGGGGGGGGTGCCGGGGCGGGGCTTGGCCATATGGCTTATAGGATCTTAGTTCCCCAATCACGGATGGAACCCATGCCCCCTACAGTGGAATCTCAGAGTCCTAACTACTGGACTGCTAGGGAATTACCCTGATAGTCTTAAAGGGCAACATTTTTAGATCCAGGAAGTGACGGCTTGAGAAGAGTTCCTTTTGGATAAGAGACTGAGGGGAAACTTGGGCAAAAAATGCTGGGAAAATTCATCTACAACCCCAACTCATGAGGCTATGGAAAGGGATAACATGTCTTAAAGCTGGGACCAAGTGACTTCTTGTTCAGACCAAGAGAAGTCACTTGATTATAAGGAAATATTGGAAATTGTGTGGAGGAAATCCTGACTTCAGGGTTCTCATTCCATCTCTGCTAAGACTTGAGGTCAGTTACTGCTTTCTGGGCCATTTTAAGTTTTCCAGAGCACCTGCTAATACAGCTGTCTTTTGATGAGCAAGAACAACATTTACACTGCTGCTTCTGTAATTGCAGCTTTCCTGCCACAGCCCTTCATCCCCTGAAAATGTATGCTTGCGCCAAGTTCGTCTCCACCCCCTCCTTGGTGAGTACCCACCTTTCCCAAGAAAGTTTTTAAGGAGAGGTGTTTTGTCTTTTCCTTCTCAGAACTTATGCTTCACAGTTGGGCCCTTTGCCTTGCTAGCCTGACGAGACAGTGAATGCTTCCTAGGCGTTCCTTGCCTTGTGTCCCATGAAGGCCAATTGATTTTTCTCATGCAGTCATAACAGAAGAGCATAAATGAACATCTAGGCTAAGATCAGGTTATTCCTATCAGAAACACTGTGTCCTTGTAAACTGGAGCCTCACCAGAAATGGTAAACATGAAATAAATTGAAATATGAAATAAATAAGTTCGACTGAGTATGCACTGTGTACAGGATCTTGTCCTGAGTGTCAGAGAGCTATAGCTAGGAGTTCCTCTAGAAGCTTAAATTTGGGTGGGAAGCTAAAATACACATAGGAAAAATATTTGATTCAAAAGCAACAGGATGGAAGAAATGAAAGAGTATTCGATAGTGGAGGCAATCAGTTCATTCACTCATAAGTGAAAAGGAGTGATGCTGTTAGTTGGTATTATTTATTGAGCACTTGCTGTGCCTGGCATTGAGTCTACCAGATTATGTACATAATTTTATTTACTCCTCCAGTCAACCCTGAGATATGCTATTCCCATTTGATAGATAAGAAAGCAGGCTTAAAAAGATTTACATGACTTGTGCTCGCTTCGGCAGCACATATATTAAAATTGGAACGATACAGAGAAGATTAGCATGGCCCCTGCGTAAGGATGACACGCAAATTCGTGAAGCGTTCCATATTTTTGGGAGGGAGGATCGGGATGGGGAATACATGTAAATCCATGGCCGATTCATGTCAATGTATGACAAAACCCACTACAATATTGTAAAGTAATTAGCCCCCAAGTAATTAAATGGAAAAAAAAAACCAGCCTAAAGAGGAAAAAAAAAAGAT